ATAATGTGATCAATCACATAATTTTGACAGTTTAGTGTTTTAACTTTATATGAATGATCATAAATATTGAGGGCACCAATGCGCCAGAAAAAAATTTAATAATCAAATGACACGGATATCGTCCGAGTCCTCTAAATGTGTGGGCAAATTGGTTGGAATGAGACGAATCTGGTATTACTGGGATTCGATGAACCCGAGAAATAGGCCGACGTTATAAAAGAAAAAGGTATAAAAACACGCTTGCATCTGAGTTAAAACAAATAAATCTGGCTTTAAGTCTAAAAAAATTTCGAAGAAAATTATCCTATTTGAATTAACGAAATAAAAAAAGGGATCTGAGCTTTGTTACACTGCCCGGAAAAGAAGAAGATATTCGAACAAATTTACGGAACATGCAAATCTATTGTCTGGTGACCACTTTTTCCATTACGCCTAATGTTGTTGGTTTTTTTCACTTTATTTCCCGGTGTGGGATGGATCTTAGATGACTAATGTTTGTCAGAATTTATATTATTTATTAGTATTGTTCTTAGATTTGATAAATATTTTTAAAAAACAAACTTCTGGATCTCAGCGTTTTTCTAATGTGGTTAGTTGTATCAGCCCGGGATAGATAAGTTATTACAATAATACTCCATGCAAGCAAACTTTGCACAAACTAATCGACTGTTTTGACAAAGTAGCCTTCGTCAACAATTGTGAAGCTTTTAAAACACAATTTATTTTTCATCGCATTGCCCGAGGGCAAGTTAATCTCCATAATTCGATTTAAATTAGCGTCCAAGCTTTTCTAATGTCAGTGAGATGAGTGCAGCTTGGACAAACCTCTGCCAAGATGGATAAATATTCTGCATTGCAATCTTATTCTCGTTTGCTGTTTGCTATCCATGCATCATTATTCGATGGGTTATTGAAGGGTTCAGGTTGGTGGGTATATTAACAAGCTTCTTCGTTAGTTAGCATTCCTATTCTATTAGTAAGTGGTTTTACCGGTGTAACAGTAGTACACAGGGATTACGTTTTGTGAACAAATGTTTTTGATAAAAGGTTTCTGTAGAATTCCCGTTGGATAGACGCTTTTTTCAACCCAGTCCATTCCAACAGTAACCTGGTAAACTATTGACACCTAGGTACAGTATCAGTATTGATTGACTTAAGAAGTTCGTAGAAACATATTAAGTGACTTAGATTATTACATTATTATTACATATTAAGTGACGTGACTTAGCAATCTCGTAATGAGGTTTCGCGCTATCAACAAACGATGGCTGAAGTATACATATGTGAACAAAAATATGTTATTTTCTGAGCCCCAAGTAAGGCCATAATGATATCTTGAAATCTGTAGTTTTTTTTATATTTTAATTGCAAAAATTTTGTTCGGATTCTCGTAAAGATTACGCCGAGTTTTTATTTTTATTTTATATGTTTTCTCGTAACTATAGTTTAATTTAGGTCGCTTTTTTACTAATGTAAATATTTCATTCTTTCTCTGGTGACATGTTGTTCATATTTTTGTTATCTATTTGAAAAAATGTTAAAATTGTTTATACTCAAAACATCTTTATGGTACAAATGGCTTGCCTATTACTAGATTATGAATCAAAATTTGCCGATTTAGTTCATATTCCGATTTGTTCATTCCGTTTGACTTCTGGTAGAGTTCTTGGCCATTTCCGGTATTTCTTGTAGAATTATTTGTATTATACATTCACAGACAAGATATTATTTTTTGTTTGGATTTATCGCTGTGTTCATTTCTTTCACGCCTACTTTCTCCATTGTATTTTAACGCCATTTTACTTCGATATAATATACGCGAGGCAAGCCAATGTGAGTGAGTCTTTGGGACCCAAAGTTTTGGCTATCGTGCATTGGGCAGTCAGATTTTGCTGATTCTCGCAGATATGACTGAATAATGCCAATGTGCACTGATTTATCCTAATGTATATATATGAATTAGGAGCGTACCTAAAGTAAATTGAATTTCAAACTGAATCGGATTTCTTAACCTTCAAGACATAGAAAAACGGTGGCGCAGTGCATTGTCACTCACACGTAGCGAAGCATCCTTCGTAATACTATATCTCAAGTTTACCTATGGCCGGGAAGTCCAGTAATTCTCTCCCATCTAATCACACCAGGAGAAATGTACTAACTGGTCATCATCATACAAGACAATTACCTTTGTATTGTATGGCAGAATGAAACGACCGTATTTTGTTTAGGAGATTCTTGCACTGACAATGATGATTGCACAGAAACGAATGAACTTTGCTTTGAATCAGATACCGAATGCTGGTGTCCTGCTGGATATACAGGAGAAGACTGCACGGAACGTAAGTGGAAATGAATAATATGATATCAGATACTCTATCTATGCATAGACATGGGTTATATAACATAAAAGACTCACTCACGGTATATTGAAATAAGGGCGCTTCCGAAGTATGTAAACCAAGATGGCGGACACCGGAACGTAGTATATGTACCAGGTTAGGCCATGATTTTATTCCAGTTTTCCTCATTTTAGTTTTATTACAAGTTCGGGGACTAGCCGAGTGACTCCCGTAGTATTTGTACATGAAATTATGGCGTAAGTCTAACCTGGTACGCATACTACGTTTCGGTTTCCGCCATCTTGATTCCGGAATAAGTATGTTTTGATTTTTCTATTTAGTGTTGAGCTCTGCATTCAATAACGAATCGATGATACCGATCTCATAGAGAAATATAATGATTATCGTCACGAAACTATCACCTCTCACCCAACACATTGTAAACAATGTCATATCGAATCAATTATGCCACGACGCCACTTATATTAAAATACAATCGAAATATGAGATCGTATATGTTTTTCAAAACAAATAGAAAGTATATTACCATAAACTTGTAGAATAATAGCTAAAGGGATTTTTCAGTAAAATTGCAATTCTATTTACGAGCTCGAAATAAAATTCACTCTTGAAAAAAATCTGAATTTTCTATTCCATTCATATACGACTTTCAGCTAACACTCATTACATCGACGATCGATGCCAACTACCAACGCTACCAGACTATACTTGTTCTAATGAGGGAGATTTGAACCGCTGCTCAGATGGTTGTACCGATGGGACTATATGCTGTTCAACAGGATGTCGGATAGAGTGTGTAGATCCTCCCGGTAAGAATTGCTTTTGTAAATTCATTTTCGGCGTTCGTTATGAGAGCCGACCTTTTTAAGGGATTTCTGTCGCTTCAAATATTCAAACCATGATGATACAAGCATTTGAAATGTCCGCGGTTCACCTGCGATTCATAGATATATGTTGTCTATTTTTCATTGGGTGTGTCATACATTCATACCTTAGAAAGACTTAGAATGTGTCGACTGATAGATGATTACATTTTATGAAAACGCTTTTTACGGTGAACCGTACGTAAATAATCTTAAATTCGCGGATGTTTGATCTGATGATTTTATTATGACAGTAATTTTGTTGCCCTTCCAACCTTCATTGGACACGAAGTGGACCTATAGGTAATTTTGTTATTATGTTGCTGTTGTTGTTAGAAATTTTCTTTTAGTCCTTATAAAAGAAATCACTGTGCGATGACGTCATCAAAAAAATTGCGCACTTTTTGGCGTTTGTGTTAGTCGTGAAGTTTGCGGTACGTTTTGACCCCGCTTTCGTGTTGATCGTGAACTGTGACCCGTACTACTTCGTATCCATATATTTGAGCATCGCTCTCTTGTATTCAAACAAATAAAATTTAAGAATGTTTGGAAAAATTATCGGATCGTTTGTACAAATCCCCCGCCAAGGCATAAAATGAGAAAATTAGTAATTATCTAGTTAAGTTTTGGGTTAGGAATGCAGATTGTGTTGGAAATTCAGATTTCCAAATCATTTCTAACTCCAAACCCTGATGTATAATCACAAATTTTCCATTTTAAAACTTGACGGGGGTGTTTTTCTCAAACCCTACATTTTTGCATTAGGGGCAGGACAAAGAGATCAAAAATATTTCGTGCCAGGGTAAATAAAAGTATAAAGTTGAAAGCTACTTTTCAAATATAGAAATGTTATTACGGAATCGGTAGAGTTGGAGACATCGCGGATACCGTGTTGATGGTGTTAATTATAAACGCCTCGAGCAAATGTAACAAGTTCTATCTATGTGTCGCACGGTATTATGGAATAATTGAAAAAATTATTACCTCAACCAACTGAGAATGGAATTTTAACCGTATAAACTTACACTGACTGACACTTTTGTCACCAAAAGGATAATTATCCAAATAGCCATCCATTGAACGTTAATTTTTTCCATTTCTTGTTGAAAAAATCTTTGAAATTTTAGGTTTTATGGATGGTTCCAAGCATTCTGCCCTTGTCAAGCAACCACATTTTATTGCTGCATTTTGTTTGTCACCATCCATTTATTTCTGTGACGTTATTAGGATATTTGGTTGTATTAATAGTTGGGCACAATAATAGCTCAGGCCACATATTAAGTAGTTTTCTTGATGCTGTGACCTGTCACTTCGTTTTTTATTATTAATTATTAGCCTGCACATCAGCCGCGGAATGTCTGGGAACTGAAATGTGCGTTCAACCCCATCATGGCCTAATATTGATTGTATGGAACGTGAGGAACGCATGTTGTTCTTGTTGTTAGAAGTTTTCTTCCTATCCTTATGAAAGAAATCACTTCTACTTAATTACTCGACCAATTGCTTTAAAATTTTCACTGGCTAAAGATTGTATTTTTCTATTACTTTCGAAGATGTTGCGTAGGACCAGATGGATGTTCAACCCGCTGTATATATTTGGTCAGTCCTAGATAATAATGATTTTGTCGGTCACTACTATAGAGGAGTACTTGCTTGTGTTATGATTTTGAAAACCACTAGAAAGTCATTTTATGTAGTAATTAACCGCTTTAGAACTTATAAGGATAGGGCCCACATCGGTATTCGAAATGGTTCCACCACATTAATACACCAAATTCACCGGGTAAGACTATGTACTTTTTTTTCTATTTTATAACCCAACGTTTTGACTGAAACCATGAACATGATACGCGACAGAATAAAATTCACACTGATTAAAACTATTGCATAGCATAGACCAGGGGTCCTCAAACTGGAGGGCGCGCGCCTCCCCTTGGGACGTGCGAGATGCTCTCAGGGGTGGCGCGAGAGGTCACAAGATGGAATCGAAAATTCCCATGCAACGTCTTCTGAATCGGTTTCCGCGTTCGTTTAAAATGCCGGCTTTTTCGCGGTATAATACATTTTTCTGTCCCGTAATTTTCAATCTATGAATCTCTATTTTACTACATTTATGTTGAGGGTAACTCGCATTTGCGGCGACTCATGACAAAGATCAACCGCCCGATTATATTAAGTTTTGATATATATTGCGCTCATGCGAATTCGTTATCGTCGTTATAAAGACCTGGTATAAAATTCCAGAAAGTATATTTATTTCATTTAGTACAATGAAAATACATATAAAGTATATTGGTAAATCATATTACACCCGCGGTACGCTCCTGGGTCAGTCGTCGAGATTACGATACTCGTTGAAAGAGCCGACTTTTTATCGGATATGTAAGGTTTTTTTATGAGATTTCTGATTTAGGGAGAATACCCACCGAAATAACAATCGAAGAATTAAATGAAATGCAATCACAAACGTCATTAGCGATTTTATTTTTCAGCAGTCAAGGGCCCGGGAAATGTCCACATGCATATACTATTAAAATGAATGAACGTTTTTTTATGCTAAAAATGTACATAAATTCATTTGTACTTCTCCATTTTGTAAACTGTATTTTTGACCTGGTGGTTGTCCCAAAGGTTCTGGTAGTAAATTTTGAAGACGCCTGGAAGTCTGTAATTGCATTGCTCAATAGTGATGAAGTAAACAATTGATTGAAATGTTAAGTGTCTTATGTAAACGTTTGAGCATAAAATACATTAGAGCGCGAAAAGCATTCGTTTATTGCGCGTTTAGTTTTATACTTAAAACTTAGTTTGACTTTACCAGGTATTGTAAAATAGGCGGAAGAAGAATATATGATGACCAGTATTTGAGTATGACTTTATACATACGACTGTAAATAGCGAAGTCGTTCTTCGATAAGTTTAATGCCCAAACAATCTGAGCAATGAGACCAAGCACTCTTACGGCGCCATCTTAATATAAAGCAACATGCCCATCACAAAAGCATTTTTTCAATGCAAACGGGAGGGGCGCAAAGTTTGTAAACTTTTTCAAAGGGGAGCGCGGCTCAAAAAGTTTAAGAACAACTGGCATAGACCAACGGGGGGCAAACCGTAGCTCGCCGGAGTTTTTATGCGGTTTTTCCCGCTAACAATGATTATATCCAAATTTTTCTAAGAGAAACTGTAGCGTAACAGTTTTTTTTAATTCATCAAGCGGTTGAATAATATATATACTACTATAATTTTGCCTCCTCCTGGCATAGACTATAAAGCATGAGAACAATCGCAATCAAAAGTAAGTCAGGTTTATTTGGGTAAAGGCCGTGCGCGAAAGTATTGACAAAACCCCACATGACGCGCCGAATATAAGTTCCGTCCAATTCCCCTTCAATATCTTATGCATAGCAGGAGTACAAATAGAGATTTGAGCCCACTTTCTTACTCGGACGCGAGCCTCATTTTTTTTTTATTCGAAAAGTAAATAATAATAAAATAAAATAAAGCGAGCTGGACTTGATTATGTTACTCTCTTATCATCAACTGTCGGCGGCGGCTCAAAAGTCGCTAAGGGCGCTTGTGAATTTCACGGGATTAAATTTCTTATATTCGCCGATTGTTTTCAATAGTGTGGCGTGGTTATTTATCGGAGAGGAGACGTTTAAAGATGAAGTGGGAAAAATTAATCCGAAAACACCCTACATTTTGTTTTAGGAGCCCAGCGCCATATTGAAACGCTGGTTTAGACAACCGGTAAATTCGGCCAAAATTTTTGGGTACTATTACTACGGCACACATGTTTAGTTAGTTGCCTTTGGAAACTACGGCATAGTCACTTAATTTGAAAAACTGGAAATTGTGCAAGCGATGTAACCATTCTTAAATTACCACCGGGCCGAAATAGAATATTTTCTCGGATTATGATGATATATAAGCTAATCAAAATATCAATAATATATCGCTGATCTTGGGATTTTTCTAACGGTGATGTATTAAAAATAATATCAAGTGGCAGCACTGCGTAGGAGCGGAGCAAATACAATAATCAAAACTATATATGATCAGGCAGTTCCCCACGCATTTTATGCCCGCATATTGCTGCGGTATTTTAGATAGACTGTAGTACTGCTTTTGTTGGCGTTGACTCTGACCCGCTCCAGAAGTATGTGCACTAAAATGTCGCACAACCTGAACTCTAACCGATACATACATACTATGTTCAGGTTGTGCGCCATATTGGTGCACATACTTCTGGAGCTCCATTATGCTTGGTCAAGAGTTGACACAATCTCGAGTTACATTTAACACATTTAAAATATTGTAACATGACATCTCAAATGTCCATATCGGTTATAGATTGAATATTTTGCGCAAAAAATAGTCATTTTCTGCAAATTAATTTGTCTCATTTAGCTAGTGGCCTAATCGCGGCAACCTTTTAAGAGACCCATGCCGGAAAACTCCGTTTCCATTTTACCCCCATTAATCACGGAATCAAAAGGACACAAATATATTAATTAATTCCGTTTTGTGAGTTATTTTTATAATAACAATTTAACACTTCAATTACCGGTTTTGATGATGTCACGCCCTAATTCTTACTGCTAAAATGCTTTAAAATTCAACAACTGTAAGCATTTCTGATGATAATAGGCTGAACGGTTCGTAAACGAGTGTGCGTGGTTACAACGAAATTCACGATTGATTCTACGTTCTGTTCTACTCTTGTTTACAATTTTAACACTCTACCATACATGTTCGAGTAAAATGTTCAAATATTCGAAACATTACTTGGACACAAGGATGAAAGGGATCACTGAAGAGCTAATAAAAAGAATTAAAGAGACTAATTATGGCTGCCATTTCTTATCCGGTTCCAACTCAATAATGGCTTTTCATACAAGTAACTCATGCCAGCTTATGGAAATACTTTGACTTATCATTTTCTAATCGATGCTATTTATATAACTCGAACTTTCTGACGATCTGAAATCGCTCTTTTCGCAATATATGGTCTTTACAAAAACGTCATTTTAACTTCTAATTTTTATCAATTTCATTTTCGGATGACGCAAGAAATGGCTAATAACATGTCGCCAATCATACGGAGTTTAGAATCTGGGGAATTTATATTTTAATACCTAATCTGGTATGACGTGTCTAAATTTACGGAATGGTCGGTTCGCTTTTTGAAAAATAGAGAATTGAAACGATACGTTAGGCGCAAAAATAAAGCAAATAACACCATAATAAAAACACAACGATTTCTCAAATTTGTCGCTTTTGTCTGTTAGCGATACTTTTGGGTGAATTCTCGCGCAATACAAGATTGATTTCGACATTCATGAGTTCCGTGTCCAAGCGATGCGGCTCAGATCACGTGGTACCGGATATTCGACTAGTAAAATGCCATTCGGATATTTTAATATTCGATTCGCTATTCGAATATTTTGCCCAGCCCTAGTTTTGTTCTTTCACTTCGTTTTATTGATATTCAGAGAAAACCTGCACAACATCCGCTGATTGTCCGGCAAATAATATGTGCGTTCAAGTCGATACATCGTCACCCACTGTTTGTAAATGCCCACTTGGATATCAAGGAGAGGATTGTACGGATGGTGAGTATTCGATGTTTTGTTTGTATTTCTCAGAATTTCGACCTGACCTAGTCGAGTGATGTAAGAATAAGAAAGACATATCATTTTGTTCAACAGGTGAAGGTATCGTCGACGAAAGATGCCCATATCCCGGTGATCTGATTGCTGTTTGCGTGGCTTCCGAAATAGACATCCAATGTCGTGAAGATAACCCATGTCCGAACGAAGAAATATGTTGCATAGGATCAAACGGATGCTCAACCCGCTGTATTCCAGTTGGTCAGTGCTATAGATACTAATGTCTCTGTCGTTCACTACTATAATAGGAGTATTTGCTTGTGTTATGATTATGGGAACGGATAGAAAGTCATTTTATGTTGTAGGCTAGCGGTTACCTTGTTTAAACCAATATGAATAATGGATTTGGCCTCAATAGTTATTCAAATAGCCTCGCTGTGGAGGGCATGTTAGTATACCCTATTATTGTCTATTTGATATTCAATACATACAGTTCACCGGGTTAGAATTTATATTTCTTTTATTTAATATCCCAAGTTTAGATTGAAACCATAGCCATAGTTACGCCATAGAATAAAAGTCGCATTGATTTATCGAGGCTATTGCACAGACCACGAAAACATGTCGCAATCTGAAGCAGCTCAGATTCATTGGTCAAATGAAATAAGAGTGTTATAATACGAATAAAAGGGCTTTGTTATATTCTAATATTGTTTTGATTTGTTTTTCATCACAAACACACCAAATATTTGCAATGGCACATTTATTTTTTTCTGTGAATTGATACTTAGCTCAGTTTCGTATCAACTAACGACGTATCGGGATTAATTTTAAACGCTCCAAGAATTACCGCAAATATCCCGTAACAAATAGTACTCGATAATCTGATAAAAGTGAAAATCATTTGACACGAAATTATATAAAACGACTACGAATATAAATAAACACGACCGAAGCCTTTTCTGTTTTCTTCAAAACAGCGGGGCGTGGGCTGTGTCGGGAACGTATACAATAAATGAATTTCCAGAAAGTTCAAATCTAAACTATTTTCAAAATATTCGAAACAAGGGCAAAACTCGGTGAATGATTCGTCACAGCAAACTGAGAGCTCTAACCCAAAAGAACAATTTTTAAAGAAAAACGTTGCGATAAAATCATATAAAAACTTTGCTCCAGAATATCAACTCTGAACCAGTGACATTTTCCAATACATTTATAATAAGAACAAAGCTTCATGCAAGATTCTGATGATTCGGAGTGGGCGTACAGTTTAAAATTGTCAATTCTAATGTCACCTTTACAAAGTTCGAGTTGAAAGTGAAGACAGTAGTTTTAGCTGTGATATATAATTTCCATTGAAAATCAACCAATATTTAAACAGAAAGATTATAAGTGTTGTAAAATACTCAATGCTGGGGTAAATGTCTGTAAAAATTCAGAAGCGTATTTTTAAAATTTAGAAATGGTATTACGGGGTAGCGTAGTTTAATCTAAAACTGGTAAAATTCATGTTATGAGCTACTGATTATAAACATTTCGAGTAAATGTGACAGTTTCTTATTGCCAAGCGATACTATAGTGTAAACTGTAAAGAATTTCGAAAATTTTTGCATCAACTCACCCAATTATCTCAGTGCGCGCTCTCCTTCATATGGTTTTGCAAAAATATAAATATCTACAAAAACACAATAATTGTTCACACAGTTAGGCCTAGTAAAATTTTAACAATTTGATTCATCAGGGATTTTATAATGCTAAATACCAGTAATTTTGTTTGTCATCATAACCTTAATTCTTGTGCTGTGATGGGGTGTTTGTTTGTATTAATATTTGAGCTCAATATTACGCCACCTAATATGTCGTTTTATTGATGTTGTGATTAGGGGTGGGCAACATCGAATATTTTTTTAAATCGAATAATTCGAATATTTTTAACGAATATCGAATATTCTTTTTATACACAACAGGGGCCCATGACGTCGTATGTCGACACTCCCTTATGAAAAAATTGGAAAAAAAAATAAAGTCAGGAATAAAGCGTTTTTTATTGGGTAATTTCATCATAATCGCTGATTGCTTTTGTCGTTGTGATTGTTTCGTCGGCGATATCCTAAAGTTGGTAATCTAAATTCCCCCCCTTTCTCTTCTATTAATTCTTGCGTGTCGCGGATATCGATGTTTTATTTTTCTGGTTTACCCGTACGGACTGATTTCAAAACCAAAATTAATTTTATTCTTATTTTAATCTTTTGCGTTGGATTGGATCTTACTTATCATCGCTTGTAAATTAACCCAAAAAGCGAAGGGTGATATCATTATCGCACCGGCATGCGAATATTTATTAAAACGATAACTGATTTTTTTTATGCTTTCCTGTGGTGTCTGCGTTATTTTCGTATTAGATAGATAAACCTCGCAAATCTGCGATTGTGTGAATTCTGAATGATGATTTAATCCCGATTTAAAATAGTGAATAAATAAATTGGCAATAAAGGCATTTCTACGTAGTCATAAGGCTTTGTGCCTAATAGACAGCCAGACGCTAAATATAACTAATTCCCTCAAGTTCTAACGTTTTTTTTTTTAACAAAAAATATAGCTAAAATCGTTACCGAGTAATTCACAATTTTGTTTATGGAATTGGTCAATTTAACACTTCAATTACCGGTTTTGATGATGTCACGCCCTAATTCTTACTGCTAAAATGCTTTAAAATTCAACAACTGTAATCATTTCTGATGATAATAGGCTGAACGGTTCGTAAACGAGTGTGCGTGGTTACAACGAAATTCACGATTGATTCTACGTTCTGTTCTACTCTTGTTTACAATTTTAACACTCTACCATACATGTTCGAGTAAAATGTTCAAATATTCGAAACATTACTTGGACACAAGGATGAAAGGGATCACTGAAGAGCTAATAAAAAGAATTAAAGAGACTAATTATGGCTGCCATTTCTTATCCGGTTCCAACTCAATAATGGTTTTTCATACAAGTAACTCATGCCAGCTTATGGAAATACTTTGACTTATCATTTTCTAATCGATGCTATTTATATAACTCGAACTTTCTGACGATCTGAAATCGCTCTTTTCGCAATATATGGTCTTTACAAAAACGTCATTTTAACTTTTAATTTTTATCAATTTCATTTTCGGATGACGCAGGAAATGGCTAATAACATGTCGCCAATCATACGGAGTTTAGAATCTGGGGAATTTATATTTTAATACCTAATCTGGTATGACGTGTCTAAATTTACGGAATGGTCGGTTCGCTTTTTGAAAAATAGAGAATTGAAACGATACGTTAGGCGCAAAAATAAAGCAAATAACACCATAATGCAAACACAACGATTTCTCAAATTTGTCGCTTTTGTCTGTTAGCGATACTTTTGGGTGAATTCTCGCGCAATACAAGATTGATTTCGACATTCATGAGTTCCGTGTCCAAGCGATGCGGCTCAGATCACGTGGTACCGGATATTCGACTAGTAAAATGTCCTAACCCATGTCCGAACGAAGAAATATGTTGCATAGGATCAAACGGATGTTCAACCCGCTGTATTCCAGTAGGTCAGTGCTATAGATACTAATGCTTTTGTCGGACACCGGACACTACTATGACAGGAGTATTTGCTTGTGTTATGATTTTAAAACCAAAGGAAATTCATTTCATGTAGTAAATAGTAATAGTAATCTTTATAGTAATAGTAATCTTTATTTTGATTTTCCCAAAAAAACATACACATAACAAATAATGAAGACATAAAACAAACACACAGAATAATGGGAAATCGGGAAAACAGGCAAAACCTCGAGTAGGGTTTAAAACACGTATAAATACATGTGCCTGTTGGGTTACTTAAAGCGGTTAGCGGTTACTTAAACCAATTTGGATAAAGTCCCAATAGTACCTTAAATAACTTCTTCGGTAGAAGGCATATCGGTATACCCTATTTGATAAGTTTGATTTTTATTACACGCAATTCACCGGGTTAGAAAATATATTTCTTCATCTTCTTTCATCAAGTTCAGATTGAAACCATAGCCATAGTTACGCCATATATTAAGGTCGCATTGAATATTCAAGGCTATTGCGCAGACCATGAAAACAGGTCGCAATCTGAAACAGCTCAGATTCATTGGTAAAACGATAAAAAACGATAAATTTATTACTAAGGCTTACGTAGTATGATCGTACATGATAGTGAGTGACTGCTAGTTCGGGTTTCCTTATATTCTAATTTGTTTTGCACGAATCACAAACACAACACACTTAATATCTGCAATGCCACATTTATTTTTTTCGGTGAATTAATACTTAGCTCAGATTCGTATCAACTAACGATGTATCGGTATTAATTTTAAACGCTCCAAGCACTACGAATATAAATAAACACGACCGAAGCTTTTTCTATTCGCTTTGAAGCAGCGGGTCGTGGGTTGTGTCGGGAACGTGTACGATTAATGAATCTTCAGGAATGTCAACTCTAAACATTGTGACATTCTTCTAAATATTTAAAACAATCACAAAATCCGGTGTGAAACGTCTCAAGTTGTAACTACTAATTGAACTAACTAGATTTAATTTTACTCCAAAACAGAAGGGTTAATAGGTTAGCGTGTTCCATTTGAGAACTCCATTAATTTGATGAAACAGCAAAAGATCCAGAGAATGCCTCTATAAGATTTTATTTCCTTCAATAATATATTACAATAAATTTTAGGCAAATAAACCAACTCACAATTTTAAGTTATTAATATTGACAGTTGAAATTCTAGCATAATTGATTAATTGTTCTCGAGGTCGCATTAAAAAGGGTACACACTTTTTTCATATCACTCGTTCAAAATCGTCTCTTTCTTTATTATCTTTTAAGATCATTCGTTTTCACGGAACATGATTTGATCTTTGCTCGAATATTCGAGCTCCTCATGACAGATATCTATGTAAAACAGAATAATTCGTCATATCACATGGATGATTATTCACTTCGCAAATGGCTGTGTCGCAATATCATACTAGAATGTTCTAGAATTTCCAATATTTTATGACGTCAAGAACAATACTTAGTGTTGATGTCAATATATTCAAAAGTATCGGTTAATTTGCTAAAAACTTATATACTTATTGTTCAAGAATATCAATTCTGAACAAGTGACATTTTCCAACGTATTTATAACAAGAACAAAACTTGGTGCATGATTCGCCAGCGTAAGCGCGATTTAATTTCATAAAATTGTATTTTCGAGGAACGCACACACTTAAGGCTTATACTGCTGCATTATTCGTTACACGAGACTGGTGTTCGATTAACCATTGGATTTATTCATTGGTTGAATAAATTCTTTGCGCAGTTTTCTTACTTTTCATATGAGCATTATGACGTTATGCTGTTCATAAGTGTAATACTTTTTGGTATTTGGTTGTCTTAAGATTTAAACATTCAATAAAAATTACCAATTCTGCACAGTACTCTTAAGTCTAATATACCAGTATGTGTGAAACCGAGTGAGAGCTACATATAAGCAGAATTTCTCGCTCATTTTTAATATAACTTTCCGTAGTGTAAGATTAGGTTAAGATAATTTCCCCATTTCATCTTGATACTAAAAAGTTAGTGCCAAATGAGATGAAATATTTTATTATGCAGGCTGTGAAAACCCCGTTGATCGTAAAACATGCACCGATCAGAACAAAATCTGCGTTGATGACGATTCTACCACAGGTTTCAACTGTCGATGTCCTTTCGGATATAGCGGAACCATGTGCGCCACACGTAAGTTTTCATACTTTATTGAATACAAAATCATTTTCATAATATTTTTGCGTTTTCTTCAAACCAGACTGGCCACAGCTGAATAATTAATGTATCGTAATTCATAACCCAGACTGATATATTATAGCCGAAAAAATTAACAGCAGAATTGTTAGCAATAGATAACAACATTTTCTTGTAAAACCGATTGATTCTCCATGGAAAACAACAGTAATTTCGATTACCTGAATTGAAAAGTATAATTCGTTTGAAGTTATAAATGATACAAATAAACAGCAAATGCCTTTTTCGAAAAAAGGTCGGCCCGTTTCAATATTATTCGGTATCTCTCCGTATTCCGCTCAACAGGTAGAAATGTTGCTCATTCATTAGTGAACTAGGCGTCAAAATACTAAGAATTATTTATTAACCATCCAGCATTTGCCGGTTTTGATGCGGAATGTCCATTTCCCGAAGTTCCTGGAAATACTTGTGATGAGTTTGAAACCACCCCGACCTGTACGGAAGCTGACGATTGTGAAGACGATAAAGTATGCTGTTCTACAGGTTGTGGAACGGCTTGTGTGGATCTTTCAGGTAAGCAATTCAAGGCATCGCAGAATTCAGTTAATTTAGCGATATTTCTCCACTCGAGTTAGTTGGATGAAACATTAATAAACATCACTTTAAAAAAAAGACTAAACAAGGCCCATGAAGGCTACGGCAATATTGTTTTCTCTTTTCGGTGCGTTGGCGCAATGTGAATGTTGGCAATCTGAGAAATTGGGAATTGGAGTAGGTTATGCAAAACTGAGCTATCTATGTTCAATAGACGGTTGATACTTGACTTTATGAACAAAATTATTAAACTTATGAAAACCTGTTTTTGTTTCAGATCCAAAACCACCAGGAAAGAAGCCAAACCTTGCATTAATTGCACTACTTCTGTCCACACGCCGACAACGACCTCCTGTAATTCCTGTAGCACCACCAGTGCCAATTTATCCAGTAGCCCCAATTTATCCAGTATCGCCAGTATTACCAGTGACACCAGTTCGTTGCCCACCAAACCAATGTGTTTGTTCTAAGAACCTCGGTGCAATTTGTCAACGAAATATAGGAGGTTGCGGCGCCATCTTCATTGATCAGCACACTAAAAATATCATTACGCAATATTGTAAGTATACTTGATTCTAGGAATATACTGTTGGTAGAAAATTTACGATCTAATCGGCAATTGTTCATTGAAAAAAAAAGAAAAAACAGTAGGCCTACGCCAATCATAGCTTAAAACATACGCTTTTTCTGGTACCAAATAGTTAGTAGCGCAATACTCACTGCCAAATTAGTTTCCATTTCCATTGCGTAGCCTGAGACCCCAGAAACTGAAATTTAGTCGCAAATACAAGATGAGGCAACATTTTTAATTACTAGATTCAACTTGTAACAATCCGAAACAATCATGCACTTATCACTTTCTTCGTGTTACAGGCAAATGCGACCCAGGTTATCAGATATACAGCCCTTGCTCTAAAGATAAATGTTTCGACATGTATGGAAGACAATTAGTGTGCCCAGGTCATCCGAATGCTAGATGTCGCGTGACTCAGTGTGGAAGATGCCAGGCATATTGGATTGATATGTATACAGGAAAACAAGTTACATGCCAAAGAATACAACCAGTAAACCCAGGTACTAACAATTAAACAAGATTTTATAGATTAAATAGAAGGTATTCCCAAAGTATGCGAACCAAGATGGCGAACCGAACTCGTATGTGTGCCAAGTTGAGGTTAGGCCATAATTTTATCCCAATTTTAGTTCTATTACCACTTCAGGGAATAGTCAAGTGACTCTCGTAGTATTTGTACCTGCAATTATGACCTAACTCTAACCTGGTACACGTACTTCGTTCCGATGTCCGTCATTTTGATTCCCCTACGTCGGGAGTACCAAATAGAAAGCCATGATGCTGGAGATTATTTCATTAGACTGAATTTCATAAACGATTAATTTCGACTCCAACGCTCATCCTTGGGGAACGAAATTTGAACAGTTCTCAATAAACAAGCATCCTTAGAATGATAATTTCTGAATATTAATTGACATGCGAGTAACCGCACGAAACACAGAGCCATATCCTGGCTCCATTTAATTTCTGAAGTTGAGCAATTGAGAAGTAACATATGGAATGCTTGTTAATTAAATGATAATTCTGGATCATTGTGCTTCATTGAATTCTGATATGAGGCCTGAGTGGTAGCAAATTAGGCCAAACGTTTATGATAAGATTATTCAAAGAAAAGCTTAGTTATTGTAATTATTATAATACCCCTTTATCATTCGATATAATGCAGTGGTCCCGGAGAGATTCCGATTCTTAGATGTCCAGATGTATGTCAACATACTAAGTGCCCGAAGCATCCGTCTGCAACTTGCACAGTTCGAGCTTGTAATGGGTGCACGGCAAGGTACACCTACTTGGGAAGAGATGTCACGGACGATTGTCATCAAGTCGTGGGATAAGAATGACTGTTAACACTCACACTGGACTGGAAAACACTTTGAAACAAAAAAACTATTTCGAGCTAATAACTCTGATTTATTTAAAAACACAACAAAACTCAAACCCAGCACCTGACAAATTTTCATATTTTCCTGGAAAATTCAGTTTAGATTTATAAAATGAAAATCAGAATATTAAACCAGGGGGTTGACGGTCGTCCCCACACCCTTTAAAATGTGGTACTCCCGAAGTATGTGAACCAACGTAGTATGTGTACCAGGTTAGAGTTGTGCCATAATTTTATTCTCATTTTTATTATTTCAGTTCTATAACGCGTTCGGGACTAGCCAAATCACTCCAGTAGTATTTGTACCTGAAATTAAGGCTTAACCTGGTACCCATACTATGTTCCAATGTCCGTCATCTTGTTTCACATATTTCGGGAGTAACCCTATCTTTCTGTATCATACAATAAAATCTTTCGCAGATTGAAACGGATTTTAGACCCTCAAGTACCTTGTAAACACACGAGTCAAGATACTCGAAACACACACGGACCTGCTAGCTTTTGCGGTAAAACTTGGTCATTAGGAATTTCAGAACGCCAATTCGAAAATTACTGGCCACGCCCCTGTGTAAGCTGCTCCGGGCAAAAAAAATATTCAAATCGCCAGACGACTACACAATAAACCTGAACCTACCCATTTTTCTGGCCTTTTTTTAATCCATTGGCATGGTTCATTCGCACACAAAAGTTTTTTTTACCCACGATGACCTAAAACTCCCCTGAGGTTTTTTAGAATTTCATGCTTGTGCTCTATTCGTCGAGATGGAGATAAAGAATAAATCGAAATCAATAAATTACGTGTGCGATCTGATGACAAAATCTTCACAAATTTTGTGTCTTATGATTATGAATGTGTTTATAGTAAAAGGTTTGCATTGTAATGTATATTGATAAAAAATTTAGTATCCATACACCTTATGTGCATACTTTGTTACTTACTTGCCTGTCAGAAGAGTTGCTTTTTCGTTGTTTTTATGAACTTCAACTGTTCATGATTAATCATCGTATTCTCTTTTATCATTCTTTCATCGCAGGCAGAATATTATAATAAATACATTGTTTGGTAAAGTATTGATAATAGCCGTTGTGGTCTGGTTTCAATATTCAAGCAGCGGTCCGTACCTATCGTCCGATTTCTATTGTCTGTCTCTGCTTGTCTAGGCTCTGTACTAAGCAAAAATGTAAATGTCTCACATCAAATTGCGGTACTAAATAACCAAGTACTAAAAGACTTGTTCTTGAAAAAATATTAAGTCTTCACAGGTGTGGTACTATAATTAATGAAGGCGTCTTGGTAATCCCGAAGTATGTGAACCAAGATGGCGGACACCGGAGCTTGTATGTGTACCACGTTAGGGTTATCCCATAATTTTATTCCTATTCTCCCTATTTTAGGTATATTCCGAGTTCGGGGGATTAGCCAAGTGACTCCGGTAGTATCTGTACCTAAAATTATGGCCTAACCCTAACTGGGTACTCATACTATGTTCCGGTGTCCCCCATCTTGGTTCACATACTTGGAGAGTATCGGCGTCTCTGCTTGTATGGTGCCTAAGTCGAGTGAGAACATAGAATACCCACGTGGAAAGTAAGCATTTGTACCTTACCAACCTTCAAGTATCGAATGAGTCTATTATATAAGTCGAGTACTATATAGCCATTACTATATCAAAAAGTGTTCCCGATTGTCTGCGCCTTGATCTGAGAGAAAAGCTGAAACGCTTCGAAAAAAAGTGTGGTACTGAAATGTGTTATTTTATGCGTGGTACTCCATCGTTATGATTGGGTAAATAATTTCATTTTTGCTTGTCTAGGGCCTCATTTTTAGCAAAAACGTATAACGCCTGCCAAACGTTGGATTTAAAATATGAGGTTTCTAGCACATATTGCTTCATTGAGAGTAACCTACTCGATTCTGCTTATATTCGTTGCTTTGCGCGAAAAGGATTAGTTAATTACGAGAAAGCAGACAAGCTTCAAAACCAATGAATATTCCTACATAATTACGCCCTGGTGACGTTTTCGTCTATTGTACTTAATTTTTGTGCTAGCAATTTCAATTGATTTTGCGTAATAATCCTGTGAATTGTTCTCGCTGTTCGTCGTCATCAAAGAGGTTCAATTATACTTTAGAAAGATTTTTACGTCGTTGTGCCTTTGCAGTGACGGATATTTTGGAACACGTAATCAGGTGGGGGTCATGAATGTAATGTGCGAAAAATGCACGTCAGCTAGATGTGGCCGTGGGTGTGTTGCTGCACTGCTACACTATAACAACTTTCTTACATGTGAAACTTCTTTATATACATCTATCTCAGCGACATGTATGGGGTAAAATGGCAGCATTGTTACTATCTCTCTAGGGCTCTAGGCTGTTATCATTCATGTAAATCACGCTGCATTAATTTTTAAACATAAACGAGTTGGATAGCAAACCCAAAAAGGTGCCGGTAGGAAAATATCAATGAGTACCTGATTTCAATTTGTTCTTGTAACTTGACCGGCATATCGTTCCACCGAGTCGTAACGCGATTCATTGGTAATCCGTCCACCTACTGACATAATGTATAAATCCATAAAACGCTTAAACAGAATACACTGATGAATTCACCCTGACCAGCCTGGTATTAGAAAATGTGACCTGAAAATATTATTTTTCCTGTTGCCAGATCAATGTAAGCCTGTTTATAGAATTCATGCTTTGGGAGAGTGGTTGTAGTTGTTACAATAAATACACTTTCAAACAGTGGCGGCAATGCCCCGGTTGTTTTTTCGGTATAATAAAAAATATTTGAAAAATACCTCAATATCGGTTGCACAGACTGTCTACACTAGCCATATACTCCCGACATGGTTCATTTTTCGCTCGCAAAGCCTTCGCCGAACGTCGACGGGGCGACGCCAATTTTGCCCCGGTTGCTCATTGTATATCGTATTCTCTCTTTTATTCTCCACTCGCCGCGTTTGTCTCGTTTGTTTTCTGTTTCTTTTACTAATTCATCGGGGCCGATCGGGCCTAGCCCCGAAATTATGACGACACAATGCCGACGTTTCTTACAACAACGTGTTGACATATTCACGCATTCCTTCTCGTTCGTTGGTTGCTTGAAGAGTTGATAGTTTCCTCGCCTTCGTTTTTGTCGCTTGTTTCGCTATTTGAATCAGTTAGAGACCTTTAGTCCATTTGCTTTCGATTTTCCACATTCCTTTTGAGCTCCTCACTTCTTTCCGGCTTCGCATTTCTTAGCCTTAGACCTCATAATGAATAAGGTTGATGCACTACTTCGCACTCCGTTTTCGCAGCTGCCGCTGGAACAAAAATTAGAGGTACAACGTCTTGGGCCTTATCAACCAAAAAATTGTTCACTGGAACAATCCCATGACGGAGGAAAGCGTCGGCGTACATTCTGCGCAGAAACTTGGTATAAAAAACACGAATGGTTGTGTTACAGCGAGGACAAAAATGCACTTTTTTGTTTTTATTGCCTACTTTTTGCTACCGCCCGTGACTCACGTTGGTGTAAATTTGGTTTTAGAGATCTTAAACATCTTTCCGAGCGTGCCAGGGATCATCAATCTTCTATGGAGCATCTGGACAATGCAGTAAAATACCGAACATTCGGAAATGTTAATATTGCAGCACAGTTGGATGAAGGACGCGCGGTTTCTATTCGTCGGCACAACCAAAACGTCGAGAAAAACCGCCATGTTCTCGGTCGATTGATAGATGTTTTGAAGTTCATTGGTTGTCACGAGCTGTCCCTCCGTGGGCACGATGAACGGGCTGGCTCTTCTAATAGAGGGGTATTTTTGGATATGGTGGAATACACCGCATCCCTAGATACAGTATTGAGAGATCATCTTGATGCCGCAACTGTTTCGAAAGGGACATCTAAGGATATCCAAAATGATTTGCTCGACTCAATGTATAAAATTTATTTACAACATTTGGCTCTGGAAATTGAGAATTGCCAGTTCCTTTCGATTCAGTCTGACGAGACAACTGACATCACGTGCGTTTCCCAACTGGCTGTGATTTTTCGGTTTGTGAAAGATGGTAAACCTACCGAGAGATTTCACAGCTTTGTACCAATCGTTGATCGCACGGCTTGCGGGATATCGGCTGTACTGAAAGAAGTGTTACAGCC